GGCTGACGCCCTCTCTCCAGTGTATCGTTCCTGCTGTGGATGGTATGTTGTCTAACCCAGGTCCTCGTCCGTCCCCTGCCATCCCGTCCCCATCCGTTCATGTTCAGTCTGCGCGAAGCTGGCCAGGCTGGGAAAAGCTTGGAGCTACAGCAGCCGTGGATGCGCAAGGATTATTTTGCCAACATTGGGGGAAGACACGCCTGACCAGCAGAATGGGTCCCACACCCATGACCACAAGTCGTACACGAACCACTGGCGACGAGTGATGGAGGGCAAGCTTGAGCAGAAGTTCACCAACATTTTTGTGATGTTCAAAGAAGTACGTGTCCCTCTTGGAGGGTCAGGCCAACAAGAGCATCGAGGGAGGAGCCCTAGATCTTGAGGCGGTGGAGAAGTTGGAGACTATGTTGGTCGAACTGGGCAGGTTGGCCAAGATGGATAGGGTGGTCTGGGACGAAATGTTGTCGACGGAGCTCATGGCGAGGTGCAATGTTGGTTGACCGAACAAGGGGTGGAGACCGGCGGCGGTGACGGGTACCCCGGAGAAAGTGTGGGGAGCATTTCGGTTCAACGCATATGCATGCACCCCGTATGCAAGAGTAAGAATTCGAAAGGATGCGCCTGCGCGGAGTTTATTGTTGGCAAACAGGCAGGGGACCGGGGTGTTTTGATGTGCCAGGCATGCTTCAACAACCCTGTGAGGCACGCTAGGGCCGGAGTTGCTCAACGGAACCCCAAGAAGTACGGAATGGTGGGACGCAAGGATCCCGTCTGGTGCTCGTGAGCGCATTTTTTTTTTGGCCTAACGTTGTACGCTGAATGTAGGATGTGTTCCTGGTGTAGGAGACGTGGATGTGGAGACGTGGATGTGTTTCGAGGGTACTCCATTGTGATTTCCCTGGGGGTCAAACTGATCCTACAAGTGCATTTTAGTGTCGTTCATCAACCATCTTGCCTTCCGCGAGAAATTTGTTGTGCATTTATCGTCCACCTGTGTTTACTTGAAAACAGCGGTGGACGAGTGATAGTTTTTGTGCCTTCGTCGTTTACCTGTGTTGCTGATAACATCAGTTGTATTGTGGTGTGATTTTTTGTGTTGGTGTGTCAACATTCAAGTGTTTCCCGACCTTTCTTTGGTTTTAACACGGCCCTCCCATGTTGCGGTCAGAGAAGTGTCGTCCAGGCTATGGGCGATCGTTTCGAAATAATAACCAATCTTGTCGGCGTGTCCCCCTTTCCTCGTTGTTGAACGGACAAAGTCCAGGCCTCGTAGTGCGCCTCAAAGCGCTTGTTCCAAGGGGTACTACGTGTCCGCCGAGATATATGCAGCGGAAAGTTTGCTGTGGGGCACCTGTTGGTAGATACTACGTTTCATCGTGAATTAAAGTTCCCCTGGCAGGCTTCCAGTGTTGCCTGGTGTACTATTACCTGTGTTGTCATTTGTTCACCGGGAGATGTTTTGACGTTCACATTTTTTTTTTTGTGTGTCAACAACCTAATACATGTCGGCGTTGGGTTGTCGCGGGTATCTGAGGATTTGTTGCAGTCTCGTTGGCCATTGAGGCAAGAGTTTACAAGAGTTGCAGATAGCATCGCAAGAGGTCTTTCGCATCTAAGAAACGACTGACACATTTCTTTTTCTGGCTGCGTGCGATTTTCCTTTTGCGCAACAGCGTGACACACACGCCATACCGATGGTGTCGCAATACACCGATGGTGTCGCAATACACCGATGGTGTCTCAATACACTTGTATTTCGGAAACCGCGAACGCCATCGAATCCAATAGTGCGACGGTGGTGTCTCAATAGACAGGTATTGTGGAGACCGCGAACGCCATCGAAATCCAATTCTGCGAATAAGGCGCTCCCTACACGCGAGGAAGCCATGCATACGTACTAGAGTTTTTGTTTTTCGTTGTCTTCGTTCTCACACCAAGCTGATCTCGACGTACACATGTCTACGCCCTCCGATGGGTGTGACCACAACATGCGCCATTCCTTTTTGCCGATGCTACTTGTAGAATGCACCACCGCTACTTTCACCGACGCGTGCCTTGCCGGCACCATTCATCTAAATTCGCCCAGCGAACTCAACAACATGCGGAGACACGACGCCCGGCAAACCACGCACGATCCTCGACGGTCTGCTCGATCTGGAACCAATCAGCAATAAAAAATCACGGCATGTGCATGCATATCGGCGCGCAATTCTTCCGAATCCTCGTGAGTAAAATGTCGTCCAGCACACACCCATCCCTCACGCCCCATGAGCAGCCTATCGCACACCATCAAATATCACGACAGGAATGCGTCTGCAATGGCCGGTGGCACGGGTTCATCCCCCGCCGACACCGCGCGGCACGCCTGCGTGAAGCAGTCGCTCCCCGTGATCTGCACGCCGCGACCCCTTGCATTCGTCTGAATGCTCATGCCGAACGAAGCCTGCGTTCGTATATGTCCTTTACTTGGAAGGAGAAGACGTTTTATCTCTTCTTTAGACACGCAAGGGGAGTAGGGAGAAGTGAAGCCCACTTTGGAGTTCGAGGGGTCCCCGCACATGCAACCATTTCAAGGTATACATATGCCCCATCTGCGTGCCCTCTGTTGTTGCCGGTAGATCTAACCAGTCCGTATCCAAACACACGAACACCCTCCCCGGTTTGCACGCGAATGGCAAACCTAACGTAGGGCATGGATACCACTGATCTACCAAAGGGACTCAAAACAACAACAGGCTCGAGGGAAAACCCGGCCAACCGGATCAAAAACCCTCGTCTAACACCCTAAAAATAGAAAACCGTCGCTATTACGGAGGATTCCAACGGCCGCACTTCCAAGACAAGACCAAGGCAGGACAGATTGAACCGGTCACGCTGATTACACACCCGAAGCAACGCTCTCGGCGATTCTAGGCTCCAGCCGCGGGTGACGCGCCGGCACAACGCTTCCTGCGTGACGTACCATGGTCATACATGCCAAGTGCTAAAACCACCACATAAACCAAACAGAACAAGAGAACACTACATCGG